AACTACAAGCAGAAAAGGATTTAGCAAAGATAAAGGATTGGTTTGATGAGATGTCTCTGACAATTAACTTTAAGAAAACAAAATACATACCTTTCAGTTGTAGTAAGGCAAAAGCTCCAAATTTCACAGAAATTAACGTAACACAAGCAAATAACTCAAAAGTAACTATAAAAGGGACAGATAATATAAAATATTTGGGAATAGTACTGGATAGATATTTGAAATGGGACGTACATATCAACAACCTAATAAATAAACTACGTGTTATACTTTTTAAATTTAAAAAACTAAAAAAAATTCTTTGCTTTTCACAACTTAGGATTATGTATTGTGCACTCGTTCAATCCTTAATTCAGTATGGGATAGTTGGGTGGGGTGGAGCCTATAAAATACATATTGAAAAGTTAGAAAAAATTCAAAAGGTTTTCCTAAGGATAATGATCAATAAAAATCGCCTTTATTCAAGTAACAAAACATATGAAGAGAGTAAGCTAATGGACATTAATAAATTATATACCTTCAAATTGTTAATATATCAATTCAGATATAGGCACAAACTAAATATGATTGATCACCCACATAATACCCGACAAAAGTTGAAACTGAGGGTTGCAACTATTAAAACCAAAAAGACAATTGCTCAAAGAACAATTTCCTTTCTCGGGCCTTACATCTATAGATTTTTGCCAGATTTTCTTAAGGATGTCACTATATTGAAATTGTTTAGAAGTATTTTGAAGAAATGGATTCTTGAAACTCCCCGTACGTTTTTTAATGAACTAATAAATGGAAAACTCAAATAACATTACTTGCATATCGAGTTGCATATTCAATCTTTAGGTTCAAAGAATTCTTCTTTAAAATAGGCAAATTCTCTTTATGAATCTTGTTTTTTTGAAGTGCAGAGTGACAATGGATTTATACAACATAGGGCTACTGAGGTATTTTTTTGTTTTGTTATTATTTATATACTTATAATTATTGTTGTAAATTTATGGAAATGGGTATGCTCCCTGGTATGCTAAGGGTCAAATTTAGATTGTTTTGTGTTTTCAAGTACTTCCTATGACTACTTATTATTTTGTTTCAACATGTAAACGCGGTCTGCATAACTGAATGGAATAACAAGAAAAGTCTGCACACAAGTCCATCAGGACTTCAGCAGAAATGTTCTTATTTATTTATTTTCCTTCTGGTTACCTTGAAAGTAGTTTACTATGCGCTCGTCGAATCCATAATTAATTATGGCATTGTTGTTTGGGGTAGTGCAGGTGTGACTACATTGAACAAGCTCCAAGTAGCACAGAAATACATAATAAAAATTATGTTATTTAAAAATAAAAGATATCCAACTGAGTTGGTTTTCAAAGATAGTGAACTGTTAGATATCCAACAATTGCACCTTAAGGCAATAGTTAGATTTATGTTAAAAGTGCCTTATTATAAGGAACCTATTAGCCACGGAGTAAATACGAGAAACACTGCTAAGAACAATGTGACAAGACACAACCCCAAACATACAATCTGTCAATATCACATTTCTAGCTTAGGACCAAAAGTTTTTAATAGCCTCCCGAATAATATTAGAAACAAGCCATATCATAGATGTAAAAGAGAAATAAAACAGTGGATTCGTCAGAGTAATTACAAGATACATTACCTAATTTAAAAATAGTAAAAGATAATAACATTATTATTGTTTATATTTATATACATAAGTGAGTCAAATTAGGAACCTCAAGGGATAGACTGATATAGGAAAAAAGGGGCACACACAGTATTTCAAATACCATCGTGCACCCACATTAGGCAATAGTGTTAAGTATAGGTAAACTATATTGGGTATTTTTGTTATTATTTAAGGATACTATTGTTGATCAATAAATAAATAAATAATAAATAAAAATTGGATTCCCTAGAAATAGATTCCATATTTGGAAATAATTAATAAATAAATAAATGGAATTTTTATACCTTTTATGTGACGTTTTTTTTTTTTTTTTGTCCTTTTTTGCCAGTGTTTGAGAGAAAATGCATTGTGAAATAAATATTTTGATTGGTGGATAATACTGTTTTTTATACTTGTAAAAAAATTTATTATTAATATTTTTCCTATTCATATTGTTTCCCAACCCAACCAAACCAATAAATCCCCCATTCCCCTATACTCCCTACAATATTATAACAATATCGTAATGCGTGTCTTTGTTGCACGTATGAAGAAAGCTGTGGTGTTAACTCTCTCTGACACACTGATTCACTGCACCGCGTCCTAAGATCGCGCTCACCAGCAATGCCGAGAGTTGAGGCGATTCAATTTTCTTTGGTTTTTAAAAAAGAATACACCTCAATCTAAACGTCGTATGGAAAAAAAGTTTTAGTAAAAAAGTTTCTTTACTCTATTGGCAACATTTTTCTCGCTTATACTAGGTATCTATTTCTAAAGATAAAAAAGTTTCCTCGACTCACCATTTAACGCTGCAAAATGACGATATCTTGTGTCATCTGGCGAAAAAAAAATTACGTAGCTTTTATGTGACGTTCTATGTTTTTGATTGTTATGAAACTATGTCAGGGAAGTACTGAAAAATATCATATCCAAAATTCATAACAATCGGACATCAATTAACAAAGTTATCCACTAGTTTTCAAAAAAAAATATTTCAATGGAAATTTCCCTTGTGCATATTTAACTGGAAATTTACCTCGTAATTTTCAAAAATTGACAAGTGGAAATATCCCTGGTGAGAGGGATATTTCCGGGTGCAATTTCCAATGCGACAATGCCGCGCGGCGTCCATTGGAAACCCACCTTTAGATTGTCATTTTTGGCATTGAGACCAGCTTTTCCATTTAAAATGCATTGATGTCAGAAATCTGTCAAAGTGTATATTTTTTGACAAACGCAATTTAAATGGGAAAGATCAATAACAATCACCATCACAGAACACATAATCATAATTAAAATATTCGACACAACTTATAGTAAATAAACTTCAAACTCGGGAAATTTCCTACCAAAATATAACACGTGCATAAAATATTTCCTAAGGGAAATTTTTAAAAATTTGGTCTTTAGTCAATTTTTTTAAACAAAAGCATTCGTGCATTGATGTCAGAAATCTGTCAAAGTGTATATTTTTTGACAAACGCAATTTAAATGGGAAAGATCAATAACAATCACCATCACAGAACACATCATCATAATTAAAATATTCGACACAACTTATAGTAAATAAACTTCAAACTCGGGAAATTTCCTATCAAAATATAACACGTGCATAAAATATTTCCTGAAGGAAATTTTTTAAAATTTCGTCTTTAGTCAATTTTTTTAAACAAAACCATTCGTGCATAGCGCCAAAGAAAAAATCCCTCACCCTTCGGGTTCGGGATTTTTTCAGGCGCTATGCACTCATGATTTTGTTAAAAAATTGGCTTCAGACAAAATTTTCAAAAATTTCCGGAAATATTTTATGCACTAGTTATATTACTACTGGAAATTTTCAGTTTTTTCAAAAATGTCATGTTTTGACACATTTCGCAATTCCGGATCAAAGGGCGAACAAGAAATTCGAATCCGGCAGGTCATTTTACATAGGATTTCATGTTTTTTAGGTGGATGTTCGCGACTTGTATAGAGGTGGTCGAATTCAGCAACTCAGATTCCCGACTATTAGGACTAAAATGATGATATTATCAAGTAGGTATTAGAGAGCTTGTCTCTAGGTGAATAATCTTTTGGGACCCCTCGCCCAAGGACCCTGCAAACCTATATCCATATGTGTTAAGAGTTATTTTTACTTAGGAATAAATTGTCAAAGTGTGTTTTTTTCTATTTAGCGCTGTACAACTTTAGTGTGACTTAAATCCTAGAAATGCCATCTGAACTCTTGAAACATCAATAATATACTCCTGGAAAAAATTATTGTACCATTGCTTATGGTGATGCCTATGTGCAATGGTGCGATAATTTTGTCCAGGAGTATATTTAAGAATGCATCATGAAGTTAGCAGAAAAATAGTTAATTTTACTTTACTAATGATGTTATTGAATTCAATAATATAGTTATTTTCCTAACAAGTGCGCAAAGTGTTACTTTTCCGCACGCAAACACAGTTATACGAACGACGCGAAGCGGAGTTCGGATACGTGTTTGCGTGCGGAAAAGACACTTTGCGCACGTGTTAGGAACAAAATTTTTCCTACGAGCTTCATATCAGGTAGGTAACAACAAAAATTTAAAAAAAAAACGATAATTTGTTTAATTATTTTTAATTAACTTGAAGGGAACCTATGCATTTATCAAAAAATTACATAACAAAAAAAAAATATAACAGAAAATCATCGTCAGAGCTCTTCATCTTAAAGCGTTTAATGGCGATTTCCATTTGTCATCAGTGCCGCACTGAGTGCATCCGCATCTTTTTCTAAAAGCATGTAACATGTAAGGATAAGGATACATTTTTTTGCCCTGTTTCGACAAATGGAAAATGCTATAAATTTGATGAGAAAGTTTGTAGATGCATATATATAGAAAACAAATCTGACAATGTGTTGAAGTTAATTAAATTTGGTGTTTGTAGGTATAGATGTTAGCTGGAACAGGAACAGAGGAAAAATTTGTCATCATGTGTCAAAGTCGACAGGTGTACTTATTGTTGCTTGACAATTATTTTTACTTTTCGGCACTCAGTGCGGATAAGGCCTGTATCCGCACTGAGTGCGGAAAAGTGCAACTTTGAGAACCGAAATGCGTGCGGAAAAGTACTACTTTGCGCACGCTCGTAGGAAAATTAATGTATCTCAACTCTTTTGTTAACTATATTTAGTTATTAGGGAGAAAATATATTCAAAAATACTTAAAACACTTGTGGCTTTCTTGTCATCATTATATCACCTCATTGATTCTATAGCTCAAAGCAAAAATCCTTGTCATCCTTTTAAGGACAATACGAATCTTTTATAAGGTAAAATTGTTATAGTATAGTATACTTACTTGGGGCTAAGTCCTTCCCACCATCCTTCGCCAACATCCGTCCTAGTAACAGTCAGAACATCCCCTGCGGTAACAGACATTTCCGCCGTCCCAGGCTCCCCTTGGAAATCATAAAGAACCCTCACTTTGAAGTTGGACATTTTTTATTAAATAAAATGTGTGGGGTCGAATTGAAGATACTCAGCTTAAATGAATAAATTAACCTGTTTTTTTTTTTTGTTTAGTGAGTAATTCAACTACTTGTTTACTAATTAAACTGTGCACTAATTTATTGGCAAATTGCGTCGCAGGCAGCCGAACAAGATCTCTATTGTTACAATTTCCAGTAGGCAAAACAAACTTGCGAAATCGATTTCGTTTTAAAAGAGGAAATTAACAAAAAAAATTCTTGATGAAAGTGGAAAAATAAAATAAAGCGATGACACATTTGACACTCACTGACACATTTATCGCGATCGTTTCGTTGTTCAACGAACCCGATCCACCCACTTTTTGTCAAAGACGCTTTTTGATTTGTTGAGGTCAGCTCGAGACCTCAACTGGGTCAGATTTTTACATGAAACGAACTAGTCACTATCAGCTGATGGAGATTTTTTGTTTCTCGTATAGAGGTCTATACGAGATTTTTACAGTGGTTTTGGCTTAGACGTGTAGATGGCGCGACAACTAACAAATGTGTGGCGTCATTGTTCCGCGATTCCGTTGTGTTCAACCCTGGATGGCTCAACTATTGTGTACAACCCTGGCGGCCTGACGTGACGTGACAGAAGACAGCTGTCCCAGGTTGTTGTTTACTTCTAGTCAGCTTGTTGCCGCGCAATTATGATATCGTGTTGTTGTTGTTAACAAAATAAAGTATTTCGATTTATTTGTATGTTCAGTGCCCAGAATTAAACCGAGTAATTAGTAAAACAGTGTTTTCATTCGCTGGTGATATATCAAGCAAACACATAGCAGTAGTAGTTATAAATGAGAAAACTTTATTATTTTCGTCTAAATTATGTTAAGGGCCGGTTTATGCATTCACTTTCTGATAAACTGTCAGGTAGTGCAATCTGACAAATAAAACCATAATCCTATTGGTCGGCCAGTTTTTCATCGACCAATAGGATTATAGATTGAATTTATCTTCCAGTCAGTTTATCTGACGATGAATAAACCGTGCCTAAATATTCTTTCACTTATTTAAAATTTATGAAGGCTTTATAATTTCTTGAAGAAATCTTATTTCTAGACGCATATAATTTGCACAAATTATTTTATTTTAGTCACTGGGCCATAGATGGCGCCACGATCAATGTGTTGTTTCAATCATGTTTTGGCAACGGTTTTGGGCAGTTTAGCAGTTTGTGAGCAGTTTTAAATTTTTGTATGTGTATACGGGTGTCCCATTTTGATTGTACAGGGTGGCCTGTTTATTTTGTCCCATAGAAATCTACTTAGATATTTTATGGCAAAAAGTTGAACAGGGTGATTCATTAAGAATGGCACTCGGCCATATCTCAAAAACTATTCATCGTAGTCATGTCGGAAACAAGTTATCCCATAAATATGGCCAAGAGAAAATGCTGGAAATATATTTCAGCTTTCTAAAATGACCGTAAGGTGGCGTAACCCAACTGTCAAAGTACAAAAATGGTTTTATTTTTTAAATTTCAAATGAAAACGTATATCAAAAATGCTAGCTTTAGATTTTTGATGAAATTTAACACAATTTTGATTTATAACTTTTTACCATAACTTATCGGATAAGATAGTTACGAGCTGTCAAATATTGCAACTCAAATACACGAATAACTTCAAAACGACTCAACGAATTGGGTCGATCTTAGGTTCATTGGAAAGACAAGAGTCTGTTCATTAATTTTGTTGTAAAAAATTCCAACTTCAGTTAGTTGGACTGACTCTATGGGTGGATATTTGAAAACAATTGACTTTTTCTAATTTTTCTTAAAATTTTCAAATGGAGAGAGTGTTAAATTAAATTTTATCAAAAATAATCAATATTTATGAAAAAGCCCTCATGACTTCGCTTTTCTGACAGTTGATTGTCATCATTGATGAATGTCAAATAATGGAAAAAGTGCGTTAGGTAATAGACCTATCTATTTTACCAGACAAAGAGGTAATAATACGAAAATTTCATTAAATAAAAAAAGACACAGAACGCTCATTGCGCAAGACGAGGCAAAACGTATAAAATTATGTTAGACTTACGTATAGCAATCCGTCTTTCTTATTTGCACAGGATAAAAAGGAAAGGAGAAAAACCTGTTGTGCAACGTATTTGTCAATGAAAATGTCAAACAACTTTTGAATGACACTTGTCAATTTGAATATCAACTTTAGATTTATTCTTGTCAGACTACGTGCAATGAACAAGGATAAAGAGATGCCAGCGTGCAAAACGATCACCTCACACCTGTATTAGCTGGCCAATAAAAAGACATTGCCTCGTGTTGCGCGCGCATACCAGGTAAAAATAGATAGGTCTATTATAATAGTAACTATATTATGCAATGATCATCTAATAATAGCCATTAATAGACGAGCATGTTGTAGGATACGAAATTTGAAGAAGAAATAATTATAATATTTATTTTGAGAATACTAAACTACTCAAGTGGTGGTGCCATCTATTATTAATTTTGGAAATTAAAATCTAGACGTCATTTCCGCATAAATTCGGCACCCGCGTACTGTGCATTTATTCATTTTTCATTCGACTCTTTCTGTAAATACTAACAGAGATAATCCAAAACCAGTTTATTTGCTGCATTTCCATTACATTCACGCAGAACCTCAAGGATGTCCTGTGCTTCTCCATTTGGAAAATGCATTTTGACTTTAGAAAATAGCGTTTGAAGTTTCAAAAATGTGTCAGCCTGACATACTTAACTGGTATCTGCTTAATTTACGAGGGCTTTTTTATAAATACTGATTATTTTTAATAAAATTAATTTTAACACTCTCTGGAATTCGTTTGTAAGAAGGTATAATAAAGAAACACTATGTAAAACATCCTCAAAAATCGATTTAACATGTCTTAAATATACCGTTCCATTTGAAAATTTTGAGAAAAATTGGAAATATTCAATTGTTTTCAAATATTGACCAATAGCGTCAGTCCTTCTAACCAGAATTTGAATTTTTCATAACAAAATTAAAGAACAGACTCTTGTCTTTCCAATGAACCTAAGATCGACCCAATTCGTTGAGTCGTTTTGAAGTTATTCGTGTATTTGAGTTGCAATATTTGACAGCTCGTAACTATCTTATCCGATAAGTTATGGTAAAAAGTTATAAATCAAAATTGTGTTAAATTTCATCAAAAATCTATTGCTAGCATTTTTGATATACGTTTTCATTTGAAATTTAAAAAATAAAACCATTTTTGTACTTTGACAGTTGGGTTACGCCCCCTTACGGTCATTTTAGAAAGCTGAAATATATTTCCAACATTTTCTCTTGGCCATATTTACGGGATAATTTTTTTCCGACAAGACCACGATGAATAGTTTTTGAGATATGGCCGAGTGCCATTCTTAATGAATCACCCTGTACAGTTTAAAACATTAAATTTATTTTTCTGTATTTGCGCATATACTAGGGGGTGTCAAAAAAGTGTGAGACCTGTATATTTTCATATTTTTGGAAAGCGCTTTTAAAGACAAATATAAATGTACCTACATATAATTTGATAGGATTGTTAGTTGTTATGCACGATTTCATAACAACTGTACATAAGGGATAAGTCAGTTCTATATTGCAGAAAATCAGTTTCAACCAATGAAATTCACTCTGACTCTTGTATCTCTCATAAGTGATCGAAAAGGTGACAACGAGTTCTTATAATTTTACGTAGATTCCAATAGCGTATATAGTCATATTTTTTCTCGAGAAATGATAGGTGGTTTTCAAATTAGGAACCAAACCAAGGTTGTTTGAAAGAGGTAGGTTGCCTGCAAGGTTGTTTTCGAGGTTGCCTAATAACTTTTATGACGTTATCTGGGTTGCCTCCAAGGAGAATACACACTCTAAGGAGTGCTTATAGGCCTCGTTTTTGGTATTCGCCGCCATATTGGTTTTCAACTGTGCCTCAACATAATGCAAATCTCCATAAGGCACCCCAAATGACGTCATCCAGTTACCTATTACCAGCCAACCTATCAACTTTATAGAAACCTTGGGTTGCCTCAACAAAATGCAAATCTACATAAGACTCCCAGATGATGTCATCTGTTCAATTACCAGACGACCTATGAGCTTATTTAGGGTCGAATTTATAGTCGCTCCTTGAGGTTTCCTCAGAAATTAAGGAGGCCTTGGGCCTTGAACGTTTGGAATTGACATGACTAACTTGTCAAATAGTAGCAATAACTGATGTCCGTTTTAAACTCACGAGCTCCAAGGAGGACCCAAGAAACCACTATTAATTTGGCCCTTAGGAACCTAGGAACCGAACATACGTTTTTTCAAATGAGACATCCTATGTATTATAAATTCATTAAATAACTCTTCAATGATATAGAGTTCGATGGGTTGATCTACAGTGGCTAAATAAACATTTACATACAGTGGCGACAATAGAGGTCCCGCCGCCATCTTGTTCCCAACCTCTTGTTACTTTTAAATATAATTTATAGAATTTAAATGGACATCTATCATAAAAAAATGAAATCGACGTATTTGATGACCATTATTAGGTCCATCAAATATGTTGTTTTCCATGATTTATGATGGATGTTCACCTAAATCCCATATATTCATATTTAAAAGTAACAAGAGGTTGGGAACAAGATGGCGGCGTTTTCAATATAAATATATGGGATTTTAGAACCAATCAAAAAAAAGACAGCAATTGTCGCCACTGTGGTAATAGAGTCACTGTAGGTTGATCTATACAGGGTGGGACACGAAAAAACTTTCCACCCAGAGTTTCTCAGGTGTTAGGTGTTTAATCAAAAATCGCTCAGACACGTCAATTTTTGTTTTTTGGGGGACACATTCTATTGGTATTTTCACCCCCTACATATCAACCCCTAAGTGGGGGTAACAGGTACCCCCAAAGTTTCAAATGAAATGAAGGGTCGAGTGATATGTCATTTGGTAGCTATTCTCATTAAGATTATATCTCCGA